CGCTCAAACAAAACATTTTTTTTTATGAACAAAATTTCATCTTTCTAAAGTCGCCTAGTAGAACCTGATCGGACCTACGTCTGTCAAGTAAGAGCGTGGCCGTGTTAATTTATAAAAATAATTATTTCATTTAATATTTATGTATGCATTGTACACATTACAACAGCAATGATGCAATTTGGTCAATATGTGTCCAGTCACCACCGGAGTCGACAATTGGCTGGCATTTCCGACGCATGCTTTTTACCAATTTAAGGACGTATTCTAGTCTTAACAGCTCGTATTTTAATTTAACGGCTCGCATGAGGGCAGTATGTACCCATATGGAATACTCATCAGTAAAAAATTTCAAAATCTCAATATGTTCATGTGCCCAAGCGGAAAAAAACCATTGTGTTCCGCCATTTCAGAACACGAATACGAAGAAGGTTGGAATAGTTTGTAGATATTTTTAAACATGTTACCACTAATTTTGCTCGTCCTTGTCGTACTGTTTTTTTTTTTAACTTCCGTAGGGCAAGTTATAGTAATCGCAAAAAATCAAAAATGAAAATTCTTATATATCTTTACGTTTCAGAGGTTTCTGAACATTTTGGCATACCTTAGAAAAAATAGATGTATGTGTGTGTGTGTGCGTGTGTGTTCGGATACGAATTTTCGTCGACGATTTCGGGAACACGGATGAAGCGATTTGAATAATTCAAAAAACATTCGATTCGTATTGATAAGGACTGATCAAATTTTCATGAAGGCAGATCTAGCGGTTTCGGAAATGAGGAGAAAAAAGTAAAAAAATGAGCTATTTGGCGGTCAAAAATGAACATTAGACATATGCACATCAGAGTATCAGATATTTTATATAAATTTTAATAATGAATAAAAACATTATATCGTTGTAGTGCTACGCGCGCTATCGCGTATTGATATTTTGTCTCTAAAACGGGTACGAAGCGCGGTCGCGCTGTCATTTTAGTACGAGTTTGTTGAAGCAGATGGTGCAAGAAATGTTCATGCCGTTTTTGTGTAAGCGAATTATTCTAATCGGATGATGAGAATAAACATTAATTAATATTTTGCTTTTGTTGGCGATGGAAAGAATTTATTAGTTTTCGGGGAAGGCAGGTTTTGAAAAAAATGCTTTTATGTTTTCAAATTTTTCATTTATAAAAAACAAATACTTCAATATATTTCCAAAGTAAAATTTGTTTTTAATGAATTTAAAAATTTGAGAATAAAATTATCAAATATTCTAATTTTTTTTGAAATATTTAAATAAATTTTATCATTTATTATTTTCAAAACATTTAAACAAAATTTCAGTATTTTTAATTGCGGTACGGGAAGTTCCAACAATTTGCCTTAAGGTACGATGCCCTAATTGCCTTAAGACAGAATTCCACTTACAGCTAGTTTTTATATAGGTATTCAATTCTGTACAACTTCGACTTTCTCATATGTTTAGCAGCCACAGATTGCGACATTTGGGGGTCTTTTGGGTGGATGCAAAGGAGCACATCCTCGTAGCGCGACGCGTAACATAGCACTCATGGTGTTTAACGTGATTGTTTTTTTAAAAGATCAACGACAGCTAATCCTTTGCTGACAATGCATTAAGGACAAAGCTTTCCTTTATCGGCTCGCGAAGAAATTAGCCCGAAATCTTTCATTAACTATCATTATAATCGACCACGCTTTTAGTTGACTGACTGTACATATACAACCCGAGTTATAGATAGTTGATGCCAACTATTGCAAAAATAATATATTTCTTATTACTTACTTCACCCAATATAAAGCCCTAAAACAATTATTGAAAGCGTGTGGTGTTTTATCTGAAATTAAAATAATTTTACATCGTGTACCCGAGAGCACACAAACGGTCTTGTTTTAACTATTTTTCATAAGAAATACAAAAATAATTTTGATTTAGAAGCATTACAATGAATTATTGAATGAGACGTTATTGAATTATCATGCTACTAATTTTATGAGATAGGATAGAAAGACATAATATTACACATACCCAGATCGGTACATGTATATCCATATATAATATGTTGAAATGTATGATTGCAATTATGTTGGTATCCAAACGTTATGCGATTCGTTGTTATTCTCACTCCTACGAGACATGTCTGATTCCATTTGCAACCGACTCGTATGATTTCTTGAACCGTGAACTAAAAACGCGGACATGGACGTGACGACTGCACGCGCGGCCTGCATGCTGGATGATCATTTCAATAAAAATTACATATTATATGTATACAAATACACACACACACGCACACACACACACACACATGTATATATATATATATATATATATATATATTACATAGATACATTCGCTATGATTTCCGGTTTTCATGAGGAGCTGTAATTTCGTTTCCTCATTTTCAGTTCAGAAGAGATAATACAGATATTCAAAACGCTAATAAATAAACCTTACAATATTTTTTTAATTGAGTTCTACGAATCTAATTGAATTAATTATGTTTTCTAAACAACGATTTTCCATTTTCAAATTTTTATTTTTAACTTTCCAAAGAAAAAGTTATGTTTTCATAAAAAAATCCGATTTGCTAATTTTATGTTGTCTCGACATTGCAATTTATTGGGAATTGTTTGACACCAAAATTGGTGAAAGTATGTGTGTGTATGTTTATGAAAGCTTTTTATTGAAACCCAAAGAGTAAGGTATTTCGTTACAGGTGTAAACAGCTCGATGTATTTTGAAATAGACTTTTTAGTGAATGTACAATTTGATATTTGACATTACAAACATTTATAGCTTAT